GCCCAGGAGGCTCGGAAGCTCGTAGACGAGAAGTACCCTGGCAAGGACATCGTGGTGATCTTTGGACGCTACTTCATTTCGAATCCAGACCTGGTGTTTAGAATTTCAAAGGACCTCGCTTTGGACTTGTACAACAGGGAGACGTTCTACACCAACAAGTCGGCGGTTGGGTATCTAGATTACCCCTTCAGCAAGGAGTATACGACAGCTTGCATAGCTTGAGGTTCTTGTTCGACCGAGTTTTCTGTGTAGATTGGCTTCATATAAATCGGATCTGCAAGCTTTACCAGCGTCCTGGGTCTGTTTTTATCATCTTGAATTACCTTTCGATCTCAAAATAGGTACAAGATCGCTAAGGATGCTCCGTTCAAAGCAAGTCAGGATAGATGGTCTCTTTGTCATGATTCGCTTCTTACATCCAATCAAACGCAGGCACTCTGGGTTCTATAGTTCCTGTATCATTCCTTCTGAAGAAGCTGGTACATCTCAACAACTGCGTCACATCGACACGTTTCCCTTTGCCATTTGGACCGTAGCCCTATCTATCGCTTACAACTCACCGATGGCAGAACGATGTGTCGCTTGAAACTCCATTGAGGACGTGACGACTGTTCGAAATACTTGCGTCGCCGCTGATATTTCTCATGCCCTTCACTAATCTCTTTCACGTTGGCAAGATCAGAAACGCAGCGTCTGCTCAATGTCAGCAGCCACCTTGAACACAGTTTTCTCATTCGATCAGGCCAAGACCGAGACTAAGCGCCTAGCACTCGGAGCCATGTCCCGAAGTCCAGGCAAACAAGCGGAGAAAACACGAAGGTGTGCGTCGTGGCTGAGCGCCTCTCGATGCTTAAGCCTGATAAGCGTGCGCGAAGGCGCTGCGACGAGGAATCGTGGCGCCCGGGGAAGCATCAGACGACGCGCTCGAATCCCTGGGTGCCGACGCCTACAATAAATGCCAGCTTCCAAGTTCATCCTAGAGCCTGCGGCAATTCCCCTCCCCGCCGTGAAGTTTCCCGTGCCGCAAGGCCAAGGAGCCGTGTGGCCCCCTGTCACCGTCTCGGCACTCGCATGAAGGCCAGAGGGAAAGAGGTAATTCGTCGCGCGCACTGGCAAGCAAAAAAAGGAGCGTCAAAATATGCTCTTCCACCCGGTCACAGGACATGGGACATGGCTTGTCGCCTGCCTCTTCCGGAAGGACGCCAAGACGCCAAGAATCGGTGGACAACTGCAGATCGGGGGTGGCATTGCGACTGGATGCTGGCGCTGTGAGGTCAGGTACTCTAGCTCGATGTTTGTTGGGCTCGGGATACGTCTCGGCCAGAGCAGAACCTTGTTGGCCTGCCGTGCATGCTGTGCAGATGCAGATATCGTGAGCCTAATCGCACCACCCCAGTGAAGAAGTCCTGGCTTCATTGGCTGTTGAAGGTTGCACAGTATGAGACCCAACCTGTGATTTCCCGTCGATCCTACCTCCAACAGGGCCCGCGACGGACTGAACCCTTGTCTATCGCGCCGGGCGCGCGTTGCAATGAAGCATGTGCAGCTTTTTCTCTCGTCAACAGACACACCCCTTGGAGGTCTCCAGCCAGCCTGACAGCCTAGGAAGAGTGCGGGGAAGCTCTGATTGCTGTGTCTGTTGACTTGAGCCAGTTCCGTGCGGAGGTGCATATGTCGAGATAACCTCGCTTGGCCTGCTGTTGAGCTTCCCCTTCCAGGACGCCAAGACGCCCAAATGCAACCATGATCATCTGCTGCGGCTAGAGCGATGTCATGGTTACTTCCGCTGCGAAGAACAGACTCTGAGCCAAGCATGTCCACAGGGCACGGTTGGTACGACAATCGATCGGGAGGAAAGCTGGTCCTCCAAAAGTAGAAAAGCAGATAAAACCCACTACATTTTCCTGGCTCCCAGGCACGTCTCGTGTAACGTCTTTCCAGTCTGCGCTGGATTCTACACAAGCCCACTCCAGACGCCAATATAAGCTGGTCCAAGACATTGCCAATCTCATCATGTCGACCGCCGCGGAGCTTGACCTCGTGGAGGCTGCTCGCGCCGACTACCCGGCCATCGAGAAGGGCATGAACACCGATAAGAAGCCCGGTTACAAGGGCGAGGGAGACTTAGGGCATGTTGTGTCTGCAACGACAGATTCGCTCCGTGGACCTAACGGCGAAGTGTATCCTACCGATGAGGAGCTCGAGACGTTGCGCCGCGTCCACGGCAAGGTTAGCTGGCTCATATACTCCATTGGTATCGTTGAGATGGTTGAGAGGTTTGCCTACTACGGCACCACCGCTGTCTGTGAGTTCATCAGAAGCGCACCCACATCTAGAGAGCGGGATCCAGCTGACCCTCCATGACACAGTCGTCAACTTCATTAGCTACCCTCTACCCGAAGGCTCTACCACAGGTGCTGCGGGCACCGATGGCCAGGCTGGCGCCCTCGGCATGGGACAGCAGGTCTCTACGGCTGTGACTCTATTCAACTCATTCTGGTCCTACTTCATGCCCCTCGTCGGTATGTAAATCTATCTTCTTGGGCGACAACATTGTTGACGAACCTTTTCTTCAGGCGGCTACTTGGCCGACACGTATTGGGGCCGCTTCTTGACGATCCAGTATGCCATTGTCATTGCCACGATAGGGCACATTATCATCATTGTTGCTTCGGTGCCCTCTGTCATTCAGAACGCCGGCGGCTCTCTGGGATGCTTCATCGTCGGTCTCCTCTTTTTTGGCACCGGAGTCGGCTGGTTCAAGGCCAATATCTCGCCCCTCATTGCCGAACAGTACGAGATGACGCAGCCACGCATGACTGTTGAGACGCTGAAGTCGGGCGAGCGTGTCATTGTCGACCCCGTCATGACCATTTCGCGAGTCTACATGCGCTACTATTTCCTCGTCAACGTCGGCGCCCTCGTAGGTCAGATCTCCATGGTTTACGCCGAAAAGTACGTCGGATTTTGGCTGTCTTTCCTGCTCCCCACCATCCTCTTCCTCTTGTGTCCCATCATCATGGTCCTCTGTCGCAACAAGTACGCCAAGCGCCCGCCGACAGGATCGGTTCTTGGCAAGTCATTCCGTCTTGTGATCTACGGCATCAAGCGCAACGGCTTCCGTTCGATGAGCAAGAAGCACTTTTGGGAGCAGATTCGCCCAAGCCAGGTCCACGACAAGCCGAGCTGGATGACATTCGACGACGCCTGGGTTGACGAGGTACGCCGTGGATTCATGGCTTGCTCCGTGTTCCTCTGGTTCCCCATCTTCTGGCTGGCCTACGGCCAAATGTCCAACAATCTCATCAACCAGGCGGCCACGATGCGCCTCAACGGCCTCCCCAACGACATCATCACCAACCTCAACCCCTTCTCGCTTCTGATCCTCATTCCCATCTGCGACAAGTTCCTCTACCCTGCCATCGCCCGCGCCGGTCTGCGCTTCACGCCCATCAAGAAGATCGCCCTCGGTTTCGCCAGCGCCACCTTCTCCATGGCCGTCGCCGCCATCATCCAGCACTTTATCTACCAGCGCGCCCCATGCGGGAACTACGCCAGCGACCGCGACTGCATCGAGGAGAACGGCGTGCCCAACATGAGCGTCTGGATCCAGACGCCCTGCTACATCCTCATCGCGCTGTCCGAGGTCCTCGCCTCCATCACCGGCCTCGAGTACGCCTTCACCAAGGCACCGCGCAACATGCGCGGCCTCGTCACCGGTGTCTTCTGGTCCGTCCTCGCCATCTCGTCGGCCCTCGCCCAGGCCTTTGTCGGCCTCGCCACCGATCCCCTGCTCGTCTGGCTCTACACGACGATTGCCTGCATCAGCGGCGCCGGTGGCCTCGGCTTCTGGCTCGCGTTCCGGAAGCTCGACGACGAGGAGGATGCGCTCAACGCGCTGCCTGAGAGTACGTACAAGGGCCGTGGTCAAGATGCTGAGGTGGAGAGCAAGGCTGTTTGAACATGTTGGCGGCGGTGGACGCCGAGACTCGCTGGTACGGTGAACGAAGTGCCTAGTCTCCGAATGCGAAACCATTCGAGAATAGCCAGAACTATAGCATTCTGAAGTAGAATCGTTGCAAATATGAAGTTTCAATTGATCATTCTGACCGCCTGACTTAACTTGATTGTGAATGCAAGACGTTGGCGTGGGAATGAGCGGTGTGGTATGTTTCCGTCCACGACCCGTGGTACTTCAATTGAGGCGAAGCATCTTCCCTGCCGTTCATCAAAGTGCAAGAAAATCCCTCGGTGCTATAGTAAGCATGCTTCTCAGTTGATCTGAAGGACATGCTCTATCATACAGCATCAGCGGCGGCCGTGGGTCGGGCCTGGTGTATCCGGCCGGAATGAGTGGGCCTCTTCCGGATCGACCCCGGCATGCCTCCGAAGCTTTCGGGCGACACCGCCGCAGGATGCAGGCGACAGAGGTGTGTTTCTGAGGAGCTGCAGCTCACGGCACGAATGTCGAAGCCGATCTGTCAATCGAATGTTTGGCGAATGAAAATGTAGATGGGAAAGATGAGCTGCCTGACGAAGTGGTGCCTCCAGGGGTTGAGTCGGAGAAAACGCGTTGGCAACAGTCGAACAAGAATGCAGCAACAAGCCGCAGCTGTATGCATGTCTGGGGATTCCCACGTTTCCTTCAGCCCATGAGTTCGGTCATTTGAATCACCATGGAGCGTTTCCCCCGGGCCAGCGCAAGGTTCAGCGTTGAGAGACACGCGCTGGTGATTCATGACGACGCCAGCGCGTCATTGATCCGCTCGCCACCGATTGCCTTCGATGTCCATCGTCTCTAGGAAGAAATAGCACAGCACGATCAAACGGGGAGCTCTGGACCTGTCCATAAAGCACCATGAGCCAGGCATGCCGTCAAGACGTCTACTCCGGATTGGTTCCCGATCCCTCACCCGAACCTGACCCCTTCACTCACCAGCCGCCGGCCTCCTCCTCTGTCCGAGCCCCTCAGCAGGTCGACAACCGCCCAAACAGCCGGCATGCCCTCGACGCGCTCCGAAGACTGGAAGTCCAACCCGCCCTACGCCCGCCCCAAAGACGAGCCCTTCACCAACACGCTCCGCGGGTCCTGCCACTGCGGCCAGGTCGTCTACCACCTGTCCCGCGACCGGCCCCTCGCGTCCAAGTACTGCCACTGCACCGACTGCCAGACGCTCCACGGCGCGCCCTTCCAGTGGGCCGCCATCTTCGAGAAGCACCACCTCGCCTTCGACCGCGGCGTCGAGGGCCTGGCCTTCTACAGCGCCGGCGACAAGGCGCCCGCCCACGGCCTGCCGTGCAAGGTCAGCTGCGCGCGGTGCGGCAGCCGCATCATGGACGAGGGGCGGAACATGGTGCTGCTCTTCCCGGCGCTCGTCGAGTTTGAGGGCGACGAGAAGATCAAGGCCAACTTTGCGCCGGAGTGCGTTTTTTTCCCCCCATTAGGATTCAGTTTTGATTCTTTCTTGAGCGTGGGCAATCGACTGACGAACATATCAGGATGCATATATTCTACACGAGGCGGGTAGTGGATATCGTGGATGGGAAGCCGAAATGGGCAGGACTCAATGACAAGAGCGAGCTCGTTGGAGAGACGCGCTGATCGCATTTGACGAGCGTTGAAGAACAGAGGTCGGGGTTGTCAAGCGATGATGGAATGACACCGCAATGATGGGGATTTCACTCACAGCATGCTGGGCGCAAGGGGGTGCAAAAAAAACAAGGCTGTGAATGTGGCCGTGTATCTTCATGATCTAATGATATCTTGTCCAAACGCCTTCCAAGTGTCCCATGCGATGCCATGCTCGCTGATGCGTATGCCACGGTATCGTGATCGCCAATATAGTATGCCGCGACGCCATGCCCAAATAATGAAGCAAGAAAAAAAAAGAAAAGAAAATGCTCACCACGTGAAGCTCTCTTCGAAATATTCCACCTTCGCCTCCGTATGGCCCAGAGACTCCACGACCGCCCTCCTCGCATCATCCGCCATGCGCGCCGGCCCGCACGCAACGACGGCGAGGCTCCCAGCCCGCGCCGCGACCACAGCGTCTTCGACCTCACGCGGCACGTCCGGCCTGCCGTACCGCACGAGCGCGGCCTTGGGCAGCGCCGACAGCGCGTCGTCGGCAAAGTCCTCCCGGTGGGTGATGCAGATCGTGACCGAAACCTTGTCGCAGCCGACGAGCGGGCCGAGGTCGTGCTTGACCACATCCTCGGCGAGCCCGCGCTCGCGCGACGTCCACACGATGCGGATCGACTTGGTGCGGGGGCTCGCGACGAGCGCGTGGAGGTACGCCAGCGGCACGACGATGCCGCTGCCGCCGACGAGGAAGAGGAGGTTCTCAAAGGTGTGGAACGGCTGGGTGTGGCCGTAGGGCCCCTCGACGAGGACGCGCAGCGGCGCGGGCGCCGGCCACTGGGCGCCGGCGGCGTCCCGGAGGCGCGAGGTGAAGCTGTCGTAGGGTCGGATGAGGAAGGTCATGGCGGGGTCCTCGCCGTCTGCCTCGGACGCGAGGCTGATGTCGTTCTGGTTCTCCATCAGCGGCGTGTCTTCGCTGAGATCCTTGGACGGCCGACGCCTGCTGCCTGTCGAGTAGGCCATGGTGAAGGGGTGGCTCTCCCAGAACTTGGTGTCGTTCAGAACGTGGAGATAGTAGTATGTGCCGGGCTGGGGCGTGTAGACGCTCGACGAGTGCGGCACCACGAGGCGGATCATGTTACTGCTGGGGTCGTAGGTAGCCGATGCCCAGGTGTTCCAGAAGCGGGGGTTGAAGGCGAGTGTGCGGGACATGCGGATGATGCGGTCGAGGCCCCAGACCATGGCAGGTATCCAGGCCAGCATGTCGTACTGTCCCTTGAAGATTGACACATGACTGTGGTCGTGTCAGTCGTCGGTCCTGTTCCCACAGAGCAAGGCGTCACTTACCCGAGCATCGTGAGCAGAACGAAGATGGACAGAACGATGTGCAGGATGAGAAAGGTCTCGTAATGCTTGCGTCGCAGCCAGTACACGGAGAAACCCAGAAGCAGGCACATGAGGACGGTTGCCTGGAGACATGTGAGCAGGAGAACTTGGATGGGCTGGCCGGGCAAGGCGTGCTCACAATTTCGCCGGTCCAGAAGAAGAACTGCGTCCACCACCAAGCAAAGTAGTCGACACCACCCTCTGGTAGCATTGGTCAGCGTCAGGCACCCAGATGCCGGTCAATGAATCCCACCTTTGATGATCAGAACGGTGTAGCCGATGGAATGCAGCACGGCCTGGAGCGTAGCGACGCGGGCAACCCAACGATGAAAGTTGTTGTAGGATCCAAAGTCCCACCCCGTCAACCAAATGACGAGGTTGTTGCGCATGCCAAAGAGCCAGATGACGGGGAAGTTGAAGAAGGAAATGATGCCTGTGCGGTCCGAACCGTAACGCCAGATCTGTCTCTCCAAACCCCCAAAGCTGGCACGGTTAGCTTGGATTGCCGCTACCGGCGTGGCCTGCCGTGAGCTTACTAGAGATTATTTTCCGTGAAGCGGTACCCGTGAAGGCTGAGAAATACGTTCATGCCAATGAAGGCGAGGAGGGTAAGGCTCTGTATCCTCGGCGGGATGGTGCACCACCCGAGGTTCTGGGCGCAGCGGTAGCCAAAGGTCGCCGGTATGGTGACAAGGCGCTTGAGCCAGACGGAAAAGGCATGGAAATGACGTGCAATACCTGTGCTGGGCTTCACCACGGAGCGCTGAGCATCGCCGATGGCGGACATGAGCCGGCTCAGGACACCCAAGGCGACAACGGCGATCCAGAAGAAAATCATGGCCATGCTGTGGACGGGTCAGTGCTCGAGGCACGCCGTAGGAAGGACAGGGGAGACGCAGGCGAGACGAACCCGTAAATGTAGTGATTGTAGTAGACATACTCGACGGCATCCTGTACGGCATGAGTGGTGCGTCTTTCACTGCGATGTGCGACAGGGACTCACGAGAGTATCGAACGCCGCGCGATAGAGCGTCTCAGACAGCATGATGACCTCGTCAAGGTGGGCACCGTTCTGCTGCTCGTCGAGGCCGATGTGCCTCAGCTGCGCGATATCGTCATCGGAGTATGTGTCGACAATGTCGAAGGGCGGCAGTGGCGTGTCGTGCCAAGCCTGGCAGGTCTCATTTTCATGGCGCAGGCCCGGATTGCCGACGCCCTCAGCACCGTGGACCTTGAGGCAGAGGTAGAGCGACAGGATCCGATCTCGGCTCTCACATCTCTGGGCCAGCTTCGAGGCGTTCGTTCCGACGTCGTCAAAGTGGACATAGGCGAGGGCGAGCTCGCACGAGCCAAAGGTGAGATCCTCACCTAGGGCTTGGGCCGCAGGGAGGATGCATGTCGTGGCAGCGAGTAGTGGCAGAAGAAGCGAAGAAGACGGAGGGCGTCTCATGGCCACGGCATGAGGAGAGATGGAAGGGATGGGCTCAGGTCGCAAAGGGAGGGGAGAGGGGCGACGGGCGGCGTGAGAAGTGGATGAAGGGCGTTGAGGAGACTAGAAGACTAGAAGACTGTGCGTGAGGAATGCGAGATTTCGATCTTATCAGATCATCTGATAATCTAGCGTCATCAGCGTGACCCGCCTTGCCCGCCTGCACGTGTCGGCACAAGTCGGAGCCGAGCAGACTGAAGGATCACCAGGCCAGCAGAAGGCCAGCAGAAGGCCGACAGCGGTTATTCTGTATGGGATGGACAATCACCGAAGTATCACCATGAGATGGGGTTTCAAGCGTCCTCACCAGCCCACGGCAAATCCCCCGGCCACAGCGACAATGAGGCGTCCCTGTAGATCGCACACATCTGATGAGAGAGAGAGAGAGAGAGACCTTTCCCTTTCAGGCGTCACGATGCCTGCTACACGAGCTAGCACGGGGTAGCTCAGTGCAGGGGTGGTCGGGTCATCATGGAGACGTGGGATGGCATGCTGTCGAATGTCTACCCGTCCATCTCGTGCGCTGAAATGCATTGAGCGAGACTCGTTCGTACACTGGTCGAACAAGGAACGAATGAAAGTGGTTTTGCAGATAGTCGACTCTGTCCAACTCATTGCACCTAGTCTCGGCCTGCCCTATGACTTTGTAGTGACACAGCGCTGGCCTGTTGACTTGAGTTACCAGAAGAGCTTCGTCTGCCCAGTATACAATGCGTTCTGTATCTTCAAAGTCTCTTGAACAAATAATCTCGATAGCATCAAAACCACCAACAATGCCAGCGAAGTAGCACATGGAATTCGTGCGCATCGGTACTGGTCGAACGCCACCACCGCTGTCGATCCCTGACTTGGGGGAACCGGTCTGCTTTAGTGCTGCGTGCTGTGGGTAGTGCAGATGCTCAAATGAGGGGTTCGCGATATGGGCATCACATCGACGTCTCTAGCAGTAACAACTTCATCACCGCCCCCGTTGCCTCAACCTCGCCATTGTACCGTCGATACCCCTCTAGTCATACGCACAGTTGCACCATGACGACAATCCCCCTACCCCCCAAGCCCCGCGTCCGCGAGCTCGACCTCATCGGCAAGGTCGCCGTCATCAGCGGTGCCTCCCGCGGCATCGGCCTCGCCATCGCCCGCAACCTCGCCTCCCGCGGCTGCTCCATCCTGGGCACCTGCACCAGCGAAACCGGCGTCGCCGCCCTCGCCTCGACCCTCGACGCCGCCACGACCGAGCTCTTCGCCGCGACCGCCCGCCCGCGGCCCGCCTCGCTCCGGATCCAGGGCCTCGTCGCCGACATCTTCAGCCCCGACTGCGCCGCCGTCATCAGCGCCGCCGTCGCCGCCTCGTTCGCCGGCCGCGTCGACATCTTCGTCAACAGCGCCTGCGACCCCATGCCCGGCACCATCGGCGACACGACCGCCGCCGAGGTCCACCGCAGCCTCCTCGCCAACGTCCAGACGCCCGTGCTCATCGTCGAGGCGTTCGTGCGCCGCCGCTTCTTCCGCCCGGGCAGCCGCATCGTGTACCTGTCCTCCATCCGCGCGCGCCAGCCGTGGAGCGGGCAGCTCATGTACGCCGCGGGCAAGTCGGCCGGGGAGTCGCTCTGTCGGACCTGGGCGCAGGCCTTTGGCGGCAAGGAGGAGCGGGTAACGTCTACTCTCCTCCCCTTTTTTCCCCGGCAGGGATCGTCAGGCCCGCCTGGGTCTCTCGTACTGACGTGGCGCAGTTTGCCTTCATGGAGGGCACGACGGCGAATGCCGTATCCGTCGGTCTCACCGAGACGGAGGCCGTGATGAACTGCGGGCCGGACGCCGTGCAGGCGTTTCAGGACGAGTTCTTCCCGTCGCAGAGCATACCGCGGTTCGGACAGCCAGAGGACGTCGCCGATGTCGTGGGCTTGCTGTGCAGTGAGGATGCTCGCTGGATCACGGGCTGTGTTGTCAGCGCCAGCGGAGGAGGCATCAAGATCGGATAAGGCGGCGCAGGCTCGAGGCAGTCCTTGACGTAAGAGAATCACAAAATCCCTGCTTGAATCTTCGCTGTAGGAGGCCACTCGTGGATGCTCGAAGAACCAGCCCGCTAACCACACCGGACACAAGGCCACACCGGACACCCTTGTGGCTTCGTCTTATGCTGAATACA